GTGCAATTAATATATTAGTTGCAAAACTTCAGTTTAATTCTGTAATGCATTATTCTCATAATTGTGCCAGTTCTTACCTTTATGACTGGATATACAACTATCTTTTTCTTACAAGGACAATGGAGAGATGCCTCTTCACAGTAAAGAAAAAGAAAAATGCAGTAAGAAGTTTTTTAATAAAACAAAAACATCTAAATTTATAAAACACAATTGCTGCTTCTTTTTATCAACATAAAAAGTGTCTCAAAATTACAATCCAACATGGTGAATGCTAAAAACATGAAGCTCTTAATCTGTATTGACATTAATTTTTAACTATTTTTTCTTTCATATTATTTTCACTGCTTTTTTTGTTTTTGTTAATCAAAATATTCAGATCGTTTCATATTTTATGACTGAACAATTTAAATACCCTATTCCATCTCAGATGGACTGTTCCACTTTAATATATTTCTTTTTACTTTCTGTATTCTTTAATAAGGCCACTAGCTTCTTGCAATTTTACTACAATTTAGTCACCTAACCAGAACTTTTTTAAGAAAAAAAAATTACTGTCATGGAAAGACTGCTGAAACCACAATATTTCTATACTGATCCGGCTAGTAGTACTCGCCAGTGTAGTTGGTACCCTCCAAAATATTTGACTGACCTTGAATTTGCCGATGATCTTGCATTAAATTTTCAGTTTATCAAAAGATGCAGAATTCTTGCTGCAGTCACTCAAGTAAGCAGCGAACCAGGTAGGTCTTTATTACAACTTGAGTAAGACAGAATATATCACCCACCCCACTCCCGCCAAAACCATCCAAGTTAAAGTCACTCAAATAATACATCCATCAAAAGAGTTGTGGACTTCAAATATCTTGGATCTCACATAATAGATTCCCATTTGGCACTTGAACCTTCCATCCTCTTTAAAAGTCCAAACCTTTTGAACACTGAACCTGTACTACTGTATGGGTCAGAAACTTGGACAGTATCTGTTTGTCTTGAAAGACAACTGGATGGAACATATATAAATCGACTTGAAAAATCCAGAACATCAGTTGGAGATCTCCTGCAATGCTTAACACAATTTACGAAGAACTGAGACCAATCTCTCTTAAGCTCAAACAAAAGCGATTGCAGTTTGCTAGGCACTGCCACCGAGCAGACAGGGAAATCATCTCATCCTTATTCTTAGTGCATCCTTCTGGAAATGTCTTCCCATGAAAATTGACTTTCCCCAGACACCATAGCTCAGGACTCAGAGTTAGACATTAAGGATCTGGGGATGGCAATGCAGTGTGGAAAGGGAAAGTTAATGGAGTTTTGATCAACCGCAGGGAGGTCAAAGGATGATGATGAAAGAATGGCTACATTGGAAAAAAACTTTTGCAAATTTCCTTTCATTTCTATCAGAAAAAGGCTTAGACAACTCAATGAAACTGAAATAGTTAAACAATTACATAGAACCTTCAGTACACAAATATATTGCCAACCTTCTTACATACAAAGATGCTATGGCTGAGTTTGAGAAAATTAATGTCAAGCCAAAGAGCAAAGTTTTTGCCCACCATGTCCTTATAACTATCAACCAGAAAACTGACAAGAGTCTGGACCAGTATTTACAAACTCTCCATCTGATTAGCAAAGACTGTGGATTTAAACTTGCGACAGCAGTGATTAACTGTGATGAGTATATCTGGGAAGCCTTCATAAATGGCCTACTGTCTCCTTGAGAACAGGTCACTAGACTTAAACATTGCATATAACCAGGCTTTGGCCCTATAAAGTGCTGCCAAACAATCCTTATCCTATATGGAACTGGCTACTGTAAATGCTTCTATTAATGACCATCCTGTAAATGAAAGCAACCACATTGTAACTGTTAGTAACAAGTACCGTTATTTCTGTGGACTCAACATCCCAGAACTAAATGCCCCAAGAGGAATGCTATCAGTAATAGATGCAGTAAAAAGGGCCACTACGCTAAAGCATGTAAATCTAGCCAACCGACAGCTGCTCTAAAAATGGCTTTGATTACCAGGGCCACACACAAGTCATTATGGATGAAAAGATTAAGAATATTCCTTGATAGATATGGGGAGTACTGAAAGCTTCATAAATTACTGTGTCATACAACAACTTGGGCTCCTCATCTCTCTTACAGCAGAAATTGTTAGCATGTCTTCTTCATCACTCTTCTAAAATTAGAGGCACTTACTTGGTCAACCTACTGGTGGGTAACAAGACTTAGCCTAATATGAAACTAGCGTTATGTAACTTGCGTTATATTATTGGTCCGTGATTTTTTATGATGACACTCTTCCATTTCCATCTTTTGGAGAACCCTTAACCAAACTGACTGTGTATGGTCTTGTTGCTATTGGTACTCAACCTCCTTCCTCATTTATCAAACTTTCACCCAGCTGCAAGCCCATAGCTGTAAAATTCTGGCACTTTTCAGATACCAATAAAATCTTCATTGCTTTGGAAGCAAAGAGATTGTTATGAGAAGGAGTTATAGAACCAAGCAACTCTCCTTGGAGAACTCAAGTTCTGGTCATTTCAGAAGTTAATCATAAATGAAGGATGGTGGTAAACCACTCACAAACAATAAATTGGGATACATTATTGGACACATTCTCCCTTCCTCGAATAGATGAAGTAGTACACGAAGTGGCAAATATCGCTACTTCAGTACCCTGGAATTGAAGAACACGTACCACCAAGTACCAATTAAGGATGCTGAGAAAAAGTATACTGCATTCAAAGCTGACGGTCACCTATATCAGTTCTGCTGACTACCTTTTGGCATTACCAATGAAGTGGCTTGCTTTCAGAGGATAATAAACAAACTTATCTCTCCCAATGAAATTTCTGCTACATTTATTTATGTAGATAACATAATCTGTGGTAAAATGAGGTTGGAACATGATATCCACTTAATTAAATTCATGAGGGCTGCTCAAAAGTACCATCTAACCATGAACAAGAAAAAAACACTTTGGTAACTGACACTCACTCTGCTGAGCTATCTGATCAGCCAAAGATCAATTAGACCTGACACAGAATGTTTACATTTCCTTAAGATTCTTCTGATCCCACAAGATAAGGCAGCGTTCATGTAAGTAATTGGACTATTTTCTTATTATTTCTAATGGGTACCAAAATTCTCCAACTGGAATTGGGTTGTTACGATTATGACATCATTAACCGCGCTGCAAAAACATTCCTTTTGACGTACTTTCTTGCGCTCATTGTGGAGCCACTATTGGTAATAAGAAATTGCAGGAGCTACATGTTTGCCTTTGTTATCTTGGTGCAACAATGTTTGCCCCTTTTTATCAAAATAAGAAATTTGCCATAATCCATTGAAGAAATAAAAAAATGTTGAGATTGCCGTGATTGTACTCACTTGAAGCCTAGATTTTACTCTCTAGATTCTAACACCCTCATTAAAGCTACTTCCCTCTAGGATCCATTTTCTGATGACTATTGTGGACAAATATTCCTGTTTCCAATTTGCTTTGCTTTGACCAATGGCTCAGTTATGAAATATCTGAACCAGATTTTCATGGTGTTTGGTACTCCTTCTTACATCCATTTGGACTGTGAACTCTCATTTCAATCCAGAAAGATGAAAGAATATATGGCAAACCTTAGCATTGCAACTAACTCCCTATAATCCATGAGGAAATGTAAAATGCAAGCAGTATAACAGGGTAATATGTAAAGCCATTACCTTGGCATTAGCTTCCAAAAATCTTGAGACCTCACAGTGGAAAATGGTATTGCATTCAATCAGGTCACTGCTGTGTCCTGCTACCAACACCACTACCCATGGGAGACCATTCCCATACCAATGCAGGTCCCCAGTGAAAACTCCATACCCACTTGGCTAACCATCCTTGGCCCTGTCTTATTGTGCTGCCATGTCCATAATAGTAAGCATGACCCACTGGTTGATGAAGCAGATTTAATTGAGGCTAATCCACAGCACTCTCACATACGATTGGCTGACAGATGAGAAGCGACTGTCTATGATTGTACCTTAGCTCCTGTTAGGGAAGATTGGCTCCAAAACCCTTCAACCCTCCTGCCTGGTGGTTTGGTGCTCATGTCACCGGCTGAGCCTGTGATCGAAACTAGTTGCTTTTCACCTTCTCTTGTGCCCTCAGCTTCTAAAGAGACCCAACCTGAAATAGAACATTCTACCCCTGGACTTGTGTGGTCGTCTACTCGGGAGTGTCAAAAGCCTCTCTGTTGCATGGACGACAAAACATAAAAAAATATATATGTTTATAAAATAAAGGAGGGGAGGATTAACAATTTAAATACCCTATTCTATCTCAGATGGACTGTTCCACTTTAATATATTTCTTTTTACTTTCTGTATTCTTTGTTAGGTGAATAAGGTCACTAGGCTCTTGTGGTTTTACTACAATGACTATTCACCAGAAAATATGGATTAGTATGGTGGTATATACTAGTATATAGTAAGGTGACTAAATTTGAATGACATCTGCTTGATAGATTGTTGCCTATTCAGTCAGACACTGACCCAGTCTATCAGGTCACCAATAACAGATGGAAGTTCAAATCTCATTGGAAGATTTTTTTTATCATAAAATGTAAAAACAACCTGGATGCTGAAAAAAAATGTCAGAAATAATTAATAATGATAATGTTTCATCTAAAAGCAATGAAAACTTCAAGCATTACTAGGAAAGGCTAGGGAAAACTGACTCAAAACAACAAAAATGGAGATACTAATCCATATATTAAATGGAATAAGAAAACTGCTTTCTAAACTTTTGAACAACACCAGGCAGGCTTGAAAATGCAGAGCTTGAAACAATGATCAAAATAATAAAAATGAAGATACTAGTTTGAATAATGAGTCATTGATTTTTTTTTCTTTTAGAGAATAAATTCAAGCAGTCATCAATCAATATATACTATAAGTAAAAAGAAAAAATGTGACAAATAAAAAAAATATATTTTTTGTTACTTACATAGGGACGGGTTGAAAATATCTCCACTAAATAAGACAAGTGGATTTAGGCCTTGGCAGGATTTTACATATCCTGCAAACCTTGCTGCTCCTCCTTTCGGTTCATCTGAGCGTGGTTCGATGTTATAGACATCGTTGAAATGAAGAATTGTTACTGTGTCAGCCATCTTGCTGATCAATTCAATAAAGCGAGAGGGACAATATCAAAAAAGGGTTACGGTTGTGTTCTGTTCCAGGTCATGGGGAAAGCTGAAAAACATACAATAAATATAAACATTATTTCTTCATATAAAAAAACATTTTAATCTGTTCATTATCTAACATTACAACTTGTACATTAAAAATGATAAGGAAATTATTTGGGCTAAAATATAAAGAATATAAGCAACACTATAAAGTTATAGATATTCAATATTGAAACATAAGTAAAGAAAAAGAATAAAAACAAGTTTCACTAATGAGAAATTTTATTAAATGGGGTATTGTCTGATTAGGGTCCTTTTTTATCAGTACATTTTATGTATGTGCATCAGACAACAGTAGTAATCATAAAAAAAGAAATGATAGAATAAAATAAAAAATATGAAAGCTATAAAAGAGGATGAAGCAAAGGAAGTCTAAAGGAAGAAAGACTGAAATGAAAGAGGAAATGATAAAAGAAGAGAGAAAATAAAACAAAAAAAAACAAGAAAAGGGTGGAAAACAAGAAGAAGAAGAACAAGAAAAACAAAGAAAAGAATAAGAAAAACAAAGAAAAAGAAATAAAAAGAAAGAAAATCATAAAGGTAAATGAAAAGAACCAAAACGAAAAGAAAAAAAAAAGAAATTATCCTGTATGGAACATAACTTTCCTTCTAGCTTTTAGGTTACAGAAGTGATTGTAAATCTTTAAGGTTGCTTTTCAGTTATTTGCTTATTAGTTTTAGGTTCAACAGGTGGTTTTAACCTATCTATAGATACATTGACAGTATCTCATTGTTCGTTTTAATCATAAAATATTTATCAGTTCTACGTAACATTTGGAAGGGGGACTGGTGTAAGGTGCTTTCAAAGGTTTGCAAACTCTGTCCTCTCTTAGCCATACACTTTTACATGTCTTAAGCTTGTCTCGGATGTATTGATGCAATTTATTTACAGAGCTATAATCTTTGTTGGCTGTAAGATACGTTGCAATTCCTTAGCAAACTTCTGATTATCTATGTCGTCATTAGTATTGTCTACTAGCAAATGAGGAATCATTATATGCGTGCATGTAACTGCAGAGAATGGGGAAGTATCAGAAGAATTAGGCACAGCATGGATACCCATTAATATTATTGGGAGGGTATCAAACCAGGATTCTTTTCTAGTCATTATTGCCATCTTCATTGTTCTATGAGCACATTCGACGATTCTGTTAGTTTGTGGATTGTAACTAGTTGTGTGCAAACTATAGAAGCCAATTATTGAGGCTATTTCTGAAAATAATTCGCTCTCAAACTGAGTACCAAGATCAGTTATTACATGAAGAGGACCCCCCCCCACATCATGTGATCCATGCATGAACAAATGCATTGGCAACAGATCGAATTGTGATATCCGGTAGTGGTTCTGCTTCTATCCATTTAATAATACGGTCAATACAGGTTAATACGTATCTGTAAGGAGCATTGTATTGTTTCATGACATCTCCTAGTCAAAGGGAGAGGACTAATTAAATCTAAGTGTATTGTATTGAAGTGAACAGTTGGCAATTCAATAGGGTGAATAGCAGATTTAGTATATCTCTGGATTTTGCTTTTCTGGCAAGTTTGACATTCATTACACATCTTTTATTGTTTTGTCCATATAAGGCCCAAAAAATCTTGTTTTGATAATTTTACACAGTTTTAATTCCAGGGTGTGATATTGCAAGAATACTATTAAAAATAGATTTTCGTATTCACCAGGTATATATGGTCTGGGAACACCAGTAATATTACCACAGTTCATGGAATTATTATTGCCAGCACTAAAATTGGATTTTTTTAAGTCAGGAAATTTTTCTAACTCAGGGTCCTCAAGTTGTGCAGCAGCTATAGCTGGCAAGTTACACAGATCTATCGTAACTGCTAGGGTAGGTCTCGACAAACAATCAGCTATAACATTTTGGTCACCCTTTAGGTGGCCTATGTCTGCAATATATTCAGTTAGATAATTGCCACTGCTGTTTATCTGACTTAGCATGGTTTAGGTTATGGAATGTACCACATAAAGGCATATGGTCAGTTAAAAATAAAACTTCAATAATGTGCTTGAAATATAGGATAGCTGAATAGGCTGCAAAAGGTTCCTTATCAAAAATTGAATATCTCGTTTGAGCTTGTGTCAACTTCTTAGAGAAGTAATCTATTGGAATTGGTGTTCCTTTCAATACTTGATGTAGGGCTGCACCAACAGCATAATTACTGCTATCAGTAATTAACTGATACTCAGTATACTCAGACCGTTGGTGAGCTAGGGATGGAAATTCACTAGTTTTATTTCTAACATTGTTAAATGACTGCAATTCTAAGTCATTTAATGTAAACATAGTGTTACTGCATACTTATATTTTCTCTGTTAATGGCATGACTATGTCAGCAAAATCAACTGAAGTTACATCAAAAGTTGACTTTTCTATTGAAATTTTTAAATTCTTGTCATGTAAAATTTCTACAACAGTTTCAATGTCTTATGTGTGATGATGAATCATCACTGAAAATGAGATTATCAATGTATGTAAATACACAATCAACATATTGAAAAGTCTTGTCTATATATTTTTGGAAGGTGGATGCTGCATTCTTTAATCCAAATGGCATGTATTTATATTCATGTAAGCCGAAGGGAGAAATAAGTGCCGTTTTTTAAATCATCTGGGTGCATTTTAATTTGATGGTATGCTGATATCAGGTCAATTTTGCTGAATTTAGTTTTGTTACCTAATTTATCAGCAATTGAATTAATGTTTGGGATAGGGTATTTATCATTTTTTGTGATGCTGTTTAATATGCAGCAATCACCACAGCATCTGAAACTTCCATATGGCTTTCTAACAATATGGCCCATTCACTGTCAGAAGGTGTAATAACACCATTTTTCTGTAACTCAGAAAATTCTTTCTTCACTGTCAGGGTTTTTTAAGAAATCAAATCCTAGTGGGGAGTATTGGGTGTCTGCTGCTACAAACGTCCAAAGAAAAGATCATCAAAGTGTTGGTAAGCTTAGTTTTGGCTTTAAGCTGCCTATAGCAGCATATTTCAGACCCAGTAGCCATCATCAGAGTGATTGGTGTTAGATCTATAGATAAATCCTTAACATGGCCATGTGAAATGATAGATAGGATGGTACCAGTATCTATAATAAATGAAAATTTGTTTGTCCCCAACATTGCTGGTATATAGAGTAACGGTGAACATTGGGGAGAGGGGAGTTGTCGTCAGCCCAATTAGTTTCCCGCTTCACTTGGAGCTGGCGAAGAAGGACACAAACTTGGCTGTTGTATTAAGTCTCTTTTTTTGTTGTGCCATTTGCACCAGTGTTTACATGTGCATGCTGCATCTGCATAGTAAATATGTGCCCTACATATCTTCTGTAGTTGTCCCTTTTGAAAAGGTTTAAGACCACACAGTAGTATTGTCGAAGTTTTAGTAGGCACTCTTTTTGTTTGGATGTGGTTGCAGATGCTTGTTCTAGTAGTGCCTTGTATTAAAGGCATTAACTCATCTGCCAATTGTCCTAGTCTGGTCAGGCTTAAGTCTTTTTGTGTGGCAGGACTTATTGAAACCGGCAACACCTGAAAAAAATTGTATAATACAATTTTGTTGCTGATTTCTAATTTTGATGCAATTGACAGCATTTCTTGAAGATAAACTGATGGTCGATCTTTAATAATGGAGGTGACATTAATTTGTCTATTATCTCTTTATTTGCGCATGTGATTCTATTAGGGTTTGTTTCAGTTCATCATAGTTGTGAGTACTCAAAATGTTGCCAGGAATCTTAGCCACTATTTTTGCCAGTGTCTATGCAATGACATTATAAAGTTCTGTAGTTTGTGATGTTATGTTTCTCAGATAAAATTAAGATTCAATGAGTGTAAACCAACTGGTAATGTTGGCTTGCATGAATTCCCGTGTCTTGATGGTTATCTGCAGGACAGTCATCTCGTGGTGCTCTCATTCCATTCTGTTTTTTGTATGTAATATTTTTACATATAAACTGTAGTGGATATTAAAAAGTATATTTCTTTTTGTTTGTTAGGGTCACCAAATATGTTGTGCATGAATATATGCTTTTGGTTTCATTTACAAAGCAAATAGCTATACAACATAAACATATAAAAAAAGCTCAAATAAACCACAAAAGTCTTCATATAAAAACACTTGAATATATATATATATATATATATATATATATCTGAAATGTTCATACAAGGTGTGCATGTGTTTTCTTTGTAAGGGACTTGATATCTGAAATAAAATATATTTGGTATTTATGTTGACTGTCATGAGCCTAAATATATATGTCTTTCTAGTTTGACTGCCAGGGACAAAATATCTATATATCTATTTTTATCATTTTAAAGGGTTAGTCAAAGGGAGATAACTTTTTTGTCTCTCACAACAATACATTTGCAATATGATTAACAATTGAGTTGCAGAAAAAATTCTCACTACCAAATAAATTATTGTAAATATTTCTAATGCAAACAAATTTTATAAGTTGAAATTCATATGGTATATTTATTGTATAAATATATCCTGAAAAATATACCAATATTTTTATTGTTGACTAACGATGTTTTGTGAAAACATTGACTTGCATAATAAAAGCTGACAGATCTCATCTGTGTGTGTGTGTGTCTCTCAGAGAGTATATAAAAATTCATATGACTATAAACTCAACCTTGATGTAGGTAACATTTATATTGTATTAGGTATTATAAATAATTTAGAGATTACTTAAAGCAAATAGAAGATGCTCATACATTATAAGCAAATACAATGCCCTTTAATACAACAGATTTGAACATCCATAGATTTTGGTATTCAACTATCTTTGTATTTTTCAGTTATCACAAGACTTCATATAAGTTTCACATTTCAAGTATTTACTCTTTTGTGGTTGGGGGTGTATAAAGAGAGAAGTACCCACTGTAAATGAA